TTAACAACCACAAAATATTCAGCACTGGGTTAATACATATCTTTGTGGTCATATGCAACTTTAACATCAGAGGTGGCCAACTCTTAATCATGTAACAAGGTAAGTTTTTTAAGGATTCATAAATTTTAAATGACAAATGAAAATACAATAAATGTACCAAATTGTACTAAATTATCTAAATTGGACATAACATTGTCAGAAAAAAGATAAGTGCTTAAGGCTGAAAAAAATAACAGTTTTGGTTCTCAATAACCACCCACATCATCATAAGGTCTGCCGCATGTTTCGTTTTTATTTTCATTAAAAAGTTTTTAAAAAATAAATAAATAGAAATCCTAATACTTAAAAACAATGTGATCCAATACAGCACACAGGTTCGTCCCTTTACATGCTCACTGCTTTACTGCGCATCTTGTGTTATGGTCATGGCGGCAGTAGGAGTTTGTATGATTGTGTAAGTAGGGAGGCCCTTTCCCAGGTTGATGGTACACAAGTGTGTATTTGGTTACATACTAGTTTGAACAAGCTAACAAAAAACAACAACCAGTCCCCCCTGCACTATATTTTCAAAAGTCATTTCCTGAGAACCAATTCTTTCATTTTTTTAAGCCTAATGTTACCTTTTTGCGACAGTTAGTGACTCAGTAGATAGTACTGTATGATTGCTCATATGACTATTGTACCACCCAATAGCCACTACAAGTAGATCATAAAATCGGCATCAGTCCGGACTTGTAAAAGCAACCACACACATGCATGTAGGTCGCTATATAAAAAATTGCTAAACGCGACATACAACCCCATTTCACCTACAAGTAGCATAGCACTGGTGGACTCTGGTCTTGTAAGACAGCTATTAATCATACCACTGCATATGGGATATTTCCACTAATCTGCAAGTCCATGCAAGATGAACTAATGTTAAATTATATAAAGTTATTGGGGTTGTACATATTTATCATCATGATAATGTGGTGCTTGTTGACTTCCTTAGTTCCTCCGTATTCTCCAAGAACGAAACACTGGTTTGAGTGAGCGAGTAAGTGAATAGTGAGTGAGTGAGTTGGGTTTTAAACTTTAACGCCGCTTTTAACAGTATTCCCGTTATATCATGGCGTGTCAGCTTGATGTGTGAGGAAAGCCCGATGTGATGCAGGTCTCTGACGTTTACCACTTCGGTAAAACCCACGAGCATGGGTATGGTGCTGACAAACCTAGAAATACAATCGGGGCGAATTGGGATTCGAACCCACAGTCATAGGTTTCTGGCGTTCCCAAGGGATGCAACTCTGCACAGTTTGAATTGATTGTCTTTGGTAGATAGAACTGGCAGGAAATGATCGTAAACCATTTTCTATTTCTGAAAGGTTAAGTTTCGTACATGCACCAAGTGATTGGCTTTATAGTTATATTCAACTATGTGCTTTGTATATTCAGGTTATGAGCTAGGCAGCTACACAGAGTTGTAAAGAGATCTGTCTGGTACAAGTGGCGATGTATGAAGCATATTCTTGCAAGAAAGTAGAAGTTGATATATCACAATGCCAAATTTTGAAGTTCAATACCATTGCAGCGTTGTTTAAATGTAGTCATTAGACAAATGTACCAATGAATAAAGATGGACGATAATCTTCCACTTGTCAATGACACAATAGACCGAAATGTATCGATTGTTCCATGTATGTGTGGCTTCCTCTATATTCAAAAACAAAGTTACTGGGACCCCTTTTTTCATATTTTTTGCGGGTAATATTATGGGACGTTTAAACTCGATACAACCGTGGTAGCTTAACATGATTTGGTGTAAAATCGCAAGTTGTATGTGATAAACATGCATTTTATGGAGAATGGGAGAATGCCCTGGGTATTTAAACCAAAATGACACTCAAATGGCAATATTCATATCCAGGCTTCCTATGGATTTTGTGATACACTGCAAACACTAAAACGTCCTTTTTACCCAATATTGGAACTTTTTTAAATGTTTTTTTGCGCTTTTCAAGCGTTTACATTGCGCCGAAAAAGCGTCGACATTTGACACCGGAATATCTTAAATAAGAGTAAATAAAAGCGACAAAACCCTTTGTATTCATAAGATATATCTGATCAAAACAGAGTCGATTGTTCGAATCCGACTATATCCGACTATGAGCATATGTTTAGTAATCCCTAATAGTGATGATATCAGGTGTAGGCGAAAAGAGTTGTATGATGCTCTGTGCAATCTTGGTACAAAGAGCATGTTCAATTGTAACTCAAAAGTTGTGACATGTATATAGACACCAAGGGCTAGAGCTGGAATATTGCTCGACATAAATGGAAAATTGACTATGGGAAAGTTCAAGTCATCCCTCTTGTCATACAGTCTTGTTGAGAGTGTTTTGACATCTTTATGCGAAGATCTAAACATGAAACAAATGAAGCGTTCTCACTGGTCTCCTATATTTCTAGTTCAGGTAGGTAAATCAGTGGAAGGGAATTGGCTATTTGATGTTTATTGAACGATGTCAGATCATCGATATGCCTGAAGCTTTATACGTTAAACGTCATGGCCAAATTTCCTTGTATTGACATTGCCAATTCGAGCAGAAAGTCCAATTCATGGGCATAAAGAAAAGGATCAGAAAGAAAGGGAGCACAATTGGGATGCCTACTTCTTGCCTCAATGTCTTATCCCCAAATTTTACATATACGTTATCAATCAGAAAGTGAGGCATTTCACATATCGTTTTCTCAGTAAACTTCAGACGGCATTAGCTTTCATTTGCCCTTAGCCTCTGAAGAAAGATATGTAACAATATCTATTGTTATATGGCAGTGTATTTTATTGTTGCAACTGTGTTACATTGTTTCTGTAGAGCTTCGGTAAACGCTCATTGCATTGTATTTGGGTAGTGAGGGAGCTAGTTGGATAGTATATAAGGGGACAACAGCATGCCTCACGCATCTCTCACACATTTCATCTGTCACGCATTTTCATCACGTCAAGACCAGCTTTCATGCGAGGAACGCTCATCTTCCCTGATTCCCTGCCGAGCCCATAACGGAAACTTGACAACTGTCGCCGCTGGGTGAATATATTTTATTATCACTGACTTTTGCTATCACCATTGTATGTTTGTATTTGATACTGACCACTGAGGTTTTCCCTTATGTTTGTCGTGTGGGATAGTGGTACACAAAATGAAAAATAAAATGTCTTGACCAAATTGAACCTGCTCCCTTTCTAAGATTGGAAAAAGTAAAGCAAATCTTTAGAGTTTTTGAGAATCCACATGGTATTGATTCAACTTGTCTCAAATATTTTTTTTGGGTGAATATAAAAACATTCCTTGATTTTATTAAGGATAACAGTTAATCTTTGAGATTTGATATGTCATTTATACCAAGTTCTCTGATCAAACAATTCATGTAATAATGCTCACATATAATGGTTATGTTATTTGAGACCTTGTCAGTGGGTACAACTACAGATTTTCATGTGGGACAGCCAGACTTTGAATGACATTTGGCTGGGACAACATGAGACATGCCACTGTAATGCCTGTATATTATATAAAAGCGTTTTATAGGTGTGAGGACTCCAATTCTGGTCATCCAGATATTCATACGTTTTAGTTATACTTAAAAGGCCTTGACACAACTTTAGGGGAGCCAAGGAACCTTGGCGTGCCGTGTAGCAAGACGGTAATCTGAGGTTCGCATATAATGCCAGGTTCTCTAAGTCCGAGACAAACATCCAGGTACCGTCGCTCAAGCGTACAACACATAAGGCAACATAATGTTTGATACTCACATAAACTTTTATGAAGGTCAGTCCATCAACCACTACACCAAATGTAGACTTAGCTCAGAACATCAACTCCAGCGTATTAACAGTTTCGATTATCTACAGATTCCACAATGAATGGACAACGGACCATCGAAACTATAGAAAAGGTATCCGGCATTTAGCATGAATGTTCTTAGATTTTGGGAAGCCATTTCAACCTCAAAGCATTACATTTAGCCGAAGAGAATGGACCTAGCAATCAGCGGTACAGAAGCTTAGATTTATTTAGTGATATAAAACTTGAGAGGAGAGGCTGTGCCAGACGACGTCATGTGTCCTTAAACCATACCATCCAACACTTTGGTATGGTGAGTCTTCGTTGATATAAATTCTCTGAAAACGTCGGGATATATTTTTGTTTTATACTTAGGGTTAATTTAAAATGGTGACTGAGAAATCTGCTTGTGATAATATTATTGAGTTGTCACTAAACACAATTTCATATTTATTGAACGTATTATTAAGTATCCAGATATATAGATAACTGCAGTTTTGAATTTTGGAGAACTTGACCTTTCAAATGACTCAACCAAACGAAGGCCTTGCCTGAAAGGTCATGCATGTCATGGCATAACTTAACAACGGTCTAATGGCCAACCCCTCGACTGAACCACTATAAAGGCTCATTCATTTACAGAATACAGTGGTGTGAATGGTCGCAAGAACTTCACTATGGACACCTACCATGAAACAGCCACAATCTAAGACACTGTAACGTCTCCGTTCCGAAAAGTTTCAGAAATGCGGCCGAAGACGTTTTGGTCATTGATGGTTTCAATACTGTGCTTTATCATTGACAAAAATTGTCACCAGATTTCCAATTGCCATCGTTACACTCATCTCATAGGGCACATCTGAAAACATATCTCTTCAAACTACACTATCCAGTCCAGTTCCACTCTACTTTGACTAGAAACAGATGCAAAAACATGTGAAGCGCTATGAGAATTAACTTGGTGAATAGAATTTGGCGAATTATAAATGGATTTTTTCTACTTCTTCTTCTTCTCTTTTCTTCTTCTTTTTCTATTTCTTTTTCTCCTTCTTCTTCAGGTATAATGGACAGGTAATAGACAAAATTAGATAATCAACTACGCACACCCTATATTTCAGACAGCTGCTGTAGCGACTTATTACCAATATTTAAAAAAACAATAAACTTACTACATTGTAGAAGAAGTGGTTTATTCAAGAAATGCGAGGAGGCCATCGCATGTGTTGAAAAATGTCACATTTGAGAGATGGAGAGAGTAATACATGTTATGTTCATGCAATTTACAGTTTCTCAAAATCATTGCATGAAGCACCTAAATTCCAAGATTTCTACATGTACATGCATCAGAGGGAGACTGATTAATGATACATCGAGATGGATAAAAATAAAATGTTGTCCTCTAAATTTTGAAACACTTTTAAGTTATGGCTAAACATGACTCACGCAGGCGGTCTGGTTGTGCTGAATAAATTCTTTTCTCCGATTTAAAAACTTACTCAACATACCTGAAAGCTCAATATATTTACTTCGCAATACTAATGGTTTCCGTGACCAAACTTCTACCATTAAGGGTTAACGTATTTTTAATATTAACGAAAAAAGCAAATAATTTTAATACATTAAAAGCGACAAAAATATTTCCCTAATTATAAGAAATCTGTCCCAAAAGCAGTGTACGATTCCGACCCATCATGAATACGTTTTTCAGAATCATAAAGCAAATGCGTGAAACACAAATATACGACCATGAAAAAGTAAGTCAACTCGAAAATAATAATTGCATACGTATGAATACATCGTGATTAGTAATATTATGTACAATTACAAAACACAAGCCCCTGATACTAACAAAAGGCTTTGTAGTAACGTATACGCCCCATTACCTCTTTACACGGGCCATGCAGAGTTGCGTCCCTTAGGCGAACAAGAAAGAGTGGTTCGTAACCGGGTTCGCTCTGATTGTGTTTCCCGTTGTTAGCACCCCGCTTGTGGGTTTCAACAAAACGACATGCCCTTTCGGGCTTTTTCCTCACATCAAGCTGATACGACGTACCATGACTCACTAACTCACTTTATTAGTGACTGAGTGAGTGATCTGACGCCAGCTTTTAGCAACACTCCAGCAATATCAAGGCGGGGGGGACACCAGAAATGGTCTTCACATATTCTCACACACTATAACAAGTCATCACCTTAATAATAATAATAATAATGATTAGTAGTAGTAGTAGTAGTAGTAGTAGTAGTAGTAGTAGTAGTAGTAGTAGTAGTCCATTTATATGCCGCTGTACTCCATGCATAAGCATACTCTAAGCGAACAGACATTTATTACCCCGATCAATGGATCAGTGTGCATTGAACAATCATGTTCAGCTCCCTGTGGAGTATACAACCAAAGCTACCTGTTGGGCGCTAGAAGATTAACAACCACATTACCATATATGCCATATTTACCATATCATCCTACCGGGTACTCATTCACTGCTGGGTTGATAGAGGCACAATTCGAACAAAATCACTCGCGCAAGGCGACACCACATATGCTACATGTGCTTCAGAACCGAAGCCTGCCGAAGGCGGTCACCCATCCAAGGACTCTCCGTGACCGACGTTGGTTAACTTCACCCGATTTGTGACCACGTGCCACCACGTTAATGTAATATGAATATATGTAAATATGATACCAGCGTACATCAATATAGCTCTAGTGTTATAAAGATGAACTGATTGCAACCAAATATTAAAAATATACATTGAATAAAAATATATAGATTATATCAGTTTATGTTATTTACATACATGTTATAAACATGTTAAGCTTTGTGATTGTGTGCACACCATGGCACATCAACACATTCAAGATGTATGTCATTTGTGTGTCTCGTGATACCTTGGAACTAAGACGGTGCATAAATTCAAAAGTATGTTTTCTCACACCGTTGACAGTTGACAGCTTTGAGTTGGGAATGTTTAATAACTTATTGCTGCCTTGAGGTTCTCCCAGAACTCTAATTTCTCATCCTCAGCTGTCGGGTACCTGATATAGGTACCATACTGAACCTCATCCTGCAAGTCTCGACTCAGACTACTGTTGTCAGGCAGTTCAGCATACCACACGACACACAGGACGTCCCTTCCGGTGTGTATGCTCTCCAGCTTGGCCATGTGGACCTCATAGTCGCACCATTTACTTTTCAGGAAGTTAGAAGACAGGACAACGATGGTTTTCCTGCTCGACTGAACCGCGTTCATGATGTTGGCAGTTATGGCTTCCCCAACCATGAAGTCCCGATGGTGTATGCAGAGTCTCAAGCCATGGTGTCGCTCAAGCATGTTACGCATGTCCTCTACAACAAACCCTCTGTCTTCATCAGCATATGAAACAAAAGCATCGTAGGTGAAATTGTCCTCCCCTTCCCCTAGTCTCTGGTATCCCCTGTATTTGCGTCTTGTAGTGTAGTACAGGTAACGTAGCTTCCACCGATAACGGTAAATTATACCAGCTGCAACTATCAGCATGAAGGCTACAACTCCAGACAGTGTTGCGGCTAACAATGGAACAACTGTTTTACACTGTTTCTGCAGCCTCCATACAATGTTTTTAATGTTGTTAAATTTCATTCTTTCTCCATTGTTTAACCGACACCTCGTATCATCAGGTCTGTCGATGGAAATGCGGGACTCCGATAGTGCTTCTAAGAACTCAAGTGTACTGCAATCACATATTAGATCGTTGCCCTGGATGTTCAAGTGAAATGTGTCGTTTCTCAAATTCATTATAAGATTAATTTGATCTGTAAGAGATTTTGGGACATACTCAAATCTATTGTTTGACAAATCCAAAGAGGTGAGAAACGACATGTGGCTGATTATAACAGTCCATGCCTCCATCATGTTCCAGCTCAAATCAAGAATCTGTAGATTGTTAAGTCTTTGGAATATAGGTAATGGTAAATCAAGAATGAGATTATTGGAAATTCTCAGTATTTCTAAATTTGTTAGGTTGAAAAATATGTGACCCTTAATATCCGACTTAAGTGATTGATATAGGTAATTTTTACTTATGTTAAGGACTTTTAGGGAAGATGCGTACATCAAGAACGTAGGGGAAAGTAACTTACAGTTATTATCAGTGAAATCAAGGAATTCAAGAGAATCAACGCCATGAATAGGACCTACCAATCCTGTAAAGCTGTTCCGAGACAAATCCAGTACCTTTACTTGATTGGGATAGAATCCTATTTCATTAATGGAATAATCGAACCTACTATGGCTTAAATTTACAAATGTGACATTGGGAGGTATGCTATTAAGAACGGGAATTGTTTCTATTTCAGTGACTTCAACTGTCATTATGTTCTTTTGTAACTGTTCATCTATCCTAGAATTGTTCTCAGTCTGAAAGCTGACAATGTTGATGTCGTTATGAGGAACAGGTCTTTGCTGCGGAGGACTTTGGGAAGTTGCTGGCTGTTGTGTCAATTCAGTCTTCTTCTTCACACTATTCATAGGCGTCAAATGAGTTCTTTCACCATGGACAGCCTTGTCCCCTTGTAATGGGTCTGATGGATACTGGTTCATCAGATATATTTTACGAAGATTTGTCATTACTGCAAGGTTTAGTAAATACTGTCCATATGTGAACCTATTACTCTTTGCTGATACGATTTGAACTTTGCGTAGTTTTTTGGCACACTCTGCATCCAAAAGCTCAATTCTGTTTGCGTCACAGTGTAATTCTGTAAGAGTCAAATTGTCTATATATCGTAAATGATCTCCTTTCAATTCAACACCGATAGCAAATGGTTTCATGATGCTGTTAAACTTCAAAACCCTCAGAGGTGAAAACTGCAGCCCGAACAGAGAGTTACCAAGTGTTTCAAAGCCAAGCCCATGATTGTGAGAAAGGTCAAGCATATCTATGTTCCTCATTGGCCCAAATGCGTTGGTTTCAATAAATGAAACACCACAGTAGCTGATATCCAGGTGCCTTACATTGGGAGTATTCAGGAAGGATTCATTATAAAGTGTATAAATCGAACAATGTCCCCGTTTTCCTGACAAGATAAGAGTTGTGAGATTCTTTAGTTTCGCAAACCCTTTACCAAATATGGCGTTCTTTACACCATCAATGATCAGTGTCCGAAGAGCCACCAAATCGCCCAGACATGCATCGGGGTACTTTGCATCTAAGTCCTCGGTATTTCCAGCAATATCCAAAGTATGCAGCTTTTTCTGTTGTCGAAAAGCTCCCTTTGGATAACTTTTGCTGTTCAGAAGAATCCTGTTTCCATGAAGGTTCAAGCGTTTCAAATTTGCAGCTCCCACAAAACTATCAACATTCAGAGAAGTCAGGGCGTTGTCAGACAGATCCAGGTATTCCATAAAAGAGAACCTGTCAAAAGATCGTGCTGCTAGTTCGATGCTGTTGTTAGACATAAGGAGAGTTGATACAGCGGATGAGATGTTTTTGGGAACACTTTTCAACATTTTGTTCGAACAGTCGGCGATGATCCCATCCTTTGCAGTTACAGTGCATACACATGGCATGCAGGTAACATTGGATGGTAAACAATGAATAAAGTTGACACTACCCAGCAGCAGGGTCATCCTCAGGATCAGAGCCATGTCTGAAATGAAATTAAACAATTTATAACAAGCAGACGAAAATGAATATACACACCTCGTCAAAAAATATCGCACCACCAATTTGTAGAGATTTTAAAAGGGTACAATGTGTTGAAACATAATATGCCTACAGCATGTTAGCCACCATAACTGCCCAGCCTTGTGGGTGCGTTTATGCAAACCGTATGCACACCTAAGGGGTCTCTTTAGAGAAATTCATGCATGATGACGTCTTGACGTTCATGCGTTTTTACTGTAATTAATTTTGAATGAAAGTTCTACCACTTTGAAGGTCTGTCTTTGGAACGATTGTAACTGCCTAAGCATACAAAATCAAAGATGACGTGGTCCAAACTGGCATGTTATGTCGGTCTATTGCCACCGTGTTGAACACTAATCATACTGTTTTCAGTTGACTCATAGAAAACACACATTGACTGGACATGTGAGGGACTTGCCGAGATCAGGGCGTCCATGAAACACCAGTGCCAGAGAGGACAGGGTCCTTGTGCGCCAGGCCAAAAAGCTGCCAACTTCGTCATCACTGGCATACCCACAACAGAGTCGACTGAATGCAGCAAAAGTATGGGCCGGAAGACCAATAAAACGTCCACTACTCTCACCCGAACATATGCGGTGCAGTTTAGTCTGGTGTCAGGCTCGAGCACTCTAGAACTCGAGGTCACAGAGGTGATATTGCACCACACTTATGGCAAGACTCGTATCTGAAGGAAAAGGGGAACATCCTATCATCAGTGCAACATCCAGAAAGCAGTGGCATGTGGTGGCGGCTCAGTGATGGTATGGGACGATGCATACTTGATTTGGTCACAGTTCAGGGGACATTAAAAGGACAAAGGTATCAAAATACCTTTGTTGTGCCCTATTTGGATAACGATGCACTTGTCACGCGTCCTGTCTTCATGGACGACAATGCTCGACCCCACCGAGCACAAGCTGTGACTGAACAACGCCATTGAGTCTTTCCCTTGACCTTCTCGTAGACCCGAATCCAATCGAGCATCTATGGGATCAGTGGCGATGAAGGGTTAGAGCCAAGGACCCTCCTGTGCAGAATGATCGTGATGATCTTTTGATCTCATTTCTGACAGTTTCTATTTATCCTCCATTATAATCCTTCTCACGGGCGAATAAGCTTGTGTTTTTGACTATGCAAATGCTCATTTCCCCTATAATTCATGAATTTAACATCTCATTTGACATTCAGTAACATTGTTTTAATGCTTTAGTTTTGCTTGCCAGCTTCTCCTTATCCATCTCTTTTCTGATTATCAAAATGTCTTGGTGGTGCGATGCTTTTGAAAAGGTGTATATATGAGACTGAAATTGAAATTGAAGAGACCAAACACAATTTCTAAAACCAAGAGTTGGTTCAACTCTAAGAGAGACTTGTAGTTACTACCTCATGGATTCTAAAAGGAGGGTGGTTATTTTATTCTTTGAAACATAGTTCCACTGTTTCGTTGTACTCCATACAACAGAATCACAGAATCACAATATTTTCAATATGGCTGTCTTGGTAGCCATGTTAGTAGTTGGCGGCCCCGTTACAGGACAAGGAACGGGTCTGCGCATGCGCGAAGGTCACATCCGGTTTCGGTTTGGTCACGTGACTGCGCATGCGCGAAGGGGGCATTGTGTCATGCGTGCGCTTCCAAGGCGTGAGGCGTGCGCACCTCCGAGATGGCGACATTTACGTTTCCGAGGGGCCATCTCCCCATCCAAGATGGTGGCAAGGAGGGAGGCGGTAGGGAGGAGGAGGAGGAGGAGGTGGGTTCTTTGTTTTGGCCGTTGGTGTGGCAGGGTGTGTATGTGTCGATTGCGTGTAGAGATGATGATCACTGAGACGAGCTTACACACAGTCGACGACCCAGCAACTTTGTTGCTAGGTTGACGTCATATCGGCGAAGGATCTTGCAACAAAATTCCACAAATCAGCAATATGGTAATGATGTCATGTGATAAGAATGGCCTAGTGCAATATGCGATTTAAGGTACCGACTTTCAGTAACTATATCAGTATGCAATGTGCAGAGTAAGGCTGAAATGATGTCAAACGGTTCGATGTCCCCAAATGTCATAAGCTAAGAAGCCATTATCAGTCATGCTGAGTCATCTACAATTCAAACGTTTGGGTCGAGACAAATTAACATATCGGTTTTAGTTTTAGTTCCTGGATTGTCTGGTCGATTGGCAACAAGGAAACACAACACACCCTCAGTGAGTTATCTACGATACTTAGCCTTGATTTTGTCACACAGTTCCCAAAGCAGATCAGCATAATATTGGTCATTAATGGTATTTCGGGATGTAGTTTACAAGAAGGATTACTTTGGAATCCCAGAAAACCGAAACAATCACCTTGTGAGCTGATGGGGAAGACTTTTTCAACTTCTGTGGATTGGAGGAGACGTGAGATGTTTTCCACTTCTTTGACTGTTGTATAGTCTCTGGATGATAGTGCTAATCCCAATACCCATCCTTAGTTACGAATCCCTTAACAGAATCTGTTCTGCTTCAAAACAACGTAATTTCACATGATATGTAATGAACTTGAAGCATTTCTGATCAGCAGTCAGAATCATTGGACCCCAGCGTGCAGAATGTTCTCAACTCTCTCATAAACAAATGCCCACTGCATTGACTATGGGACGTGAGTAAGCGATCACCAATTATCATATAATTTATGTTATCAACAGATTCCCCAGAGGTGGCAGGCAGGTGAAGGTCTTCCTGATGTTTGATCAGCTTCGAGGCTCTTGAACTTGGCTGACCACCTCCCAACAGCGGCAAAGGGAGGAGCGCCATCCCCTAAAGTTGACACCATGACCGCACGTATGGCTGTTGGAGTTATTGCTTTCAGTTGGAGATACTTGATGACAGCACAGTATGTAACTTTGTCCATTTTCATCAGTACCTGTTCAGTTTAATACCGACAGAAATATGCAGCCTGGTTGTGTGTCTGGTTCAATTGTATCCTGTAAGCATGGCCAGTATCGTGCTGAATACATGCAAACTGTTGAGGGTGCTCTGTCAACCTTCATAGTTAGGCTCAGAACGTTTCAGTCACCCCTCGCATGTGTTAAATGCAAATGCATGTATAGTTATCAGTTTGATGGGAGTAATGCACTTCATGTGTTATTAAACTAAAAAATATATTTATTTTCATTGACATTCATCAAAGTTTCTTTTAGCCTCATTCACACAGATAATTCGACCGCGATGCAACCTCCTGGCGACCAAAATATTTGACAATTGCAATGAGGTGACAGAGGTCTCAGAAAGGTTTCACTGAGGTCGCTACAAGGTTTCAGAGCGGTCGCAAAGCCCATTCGGTCACAACATGCACAAATGACTGTCTGCGACCGATTTGGTCGCTCAGAGGTTTCATTGGTCTCCTAGAGGTCCCAAGGGGGTGTTATGTCGCACATTGGTTTCGACTGTGCGGCGATCAGTTTCGTCAACAAAAGGGTGTTGACTCTTTGCAACTAAGTGGCGACCTATCGGTGATTGATCAGTGATGAGGCAGTGATCGACTGGCGCTTCATCGGTGACTGGTTGTCGATTGGTTGGAAAGTGGATTCATTCGATCATTCGCCGTTGGGTTTGCAACATGTGACCGTCTCTAAAAATACCTGTCTGTGCATTACATCATCATTTTGTCATAAGTACTCAGAAAGTTCACATCAATTATTTCCATTCATCACTATGGTCCGTTAAGGCAGGAAAACAAAAGAACCAGAAATTGTAGAAGATACAGTAGAGCCAACTGCTATGAGGAAGAAGAGCCAGAGATGTCCGGTGTTGACAGGCTCCATTCGGAGGTAGCCCACTAAATCACCACGACTTTCTCTCTCCAACTCTGCCATCAGATTCCCATAGTCTCTTAGCTGTGGCCTTCTTGCGATCCAATGTCTCAGCCAATACAGCCTTCGCCTTGTTTGTCTCATTCTTCTGTACATCATCATGGCAGCAACTGCAGCATTTTGATTTATTATTTGCAGAGAAACTGCAACTGTTCTGCTGTTAACATCTTGACAACTTGCAAAGAAATGATTTGATTCAGAAAAGCACCCTTTTTATATGCATTATGTTTTGATCCGTGATGATCAACAACTCGTCACTGACCAGTGCCCGTTCAGTTGAAACAAGTCACTGATCGGTCTCAACCAGTTGCAAACATTTTGCCGTATCTGCGGTGAACAGTTGCCGATCAAACACTGACAAGTTGCAAAACCTATCGCTGATTGGTCGGCGGTCATACCGTTTTTCCAAATATTGACAGAAGTAGTTGCACCAGTCTTAGCGATCACCATTCGGTCGCAAAGGAAATCACTCACCAAGAGGTTGCATCGCGGTCGCATTGTCTGTGTGACTGTAGCTTTACATGAACTGAAAGAACTATTTGACATGTATATCTATTTTCGATGACATTCATCACATTATTGGAAATTTCTTTCAGGGCTAGTTGACAAAGTCAACAGAGTTTGGCAAAGTATGCAACGGCATCTATGTACATGGTGGTCTCCTGTCGTTGCAGTTGAGCCTTCAATCGTTAAACCTGTGGTCCCGTTCTCGACAGACGCGTTGGGTTAGTTTGGCAAGCCAAACAGATCTATGGATCGGAAGAGATTCTGATGGTGGTAGGGCAGGCAACAGATGTGATGGGAATGGAACCCATCCAAATTGTTTGTTCTGGGCCCCGCTGTCCGGTAGTGGTTCCACAGGCCTTTAAGGGGAACATGACGTCATAGTGAACCCACAGAGTCACAACATGGGCATTGAATTCCTGACCGCGTGGCACCCGAGGACTGGCACCCCTGGCGTCAATCTAGGTTTCTTGCACCAAGTTAGCAGAGCTACTCGACTAATCCACTTGTGAACTTCTGGGTCCTCTTTGTAGATGATTGTCAGTCCAAGTGCTTGGGTTTTCCTCCATATTGCTTAGCCAAACTGGATGAAACATCCTTTCGATTCTGCC